CTATCCTAATGTTGCATAAACTTTGCTCTCATAGACACGTCTAAGGGAGAGATTAACAATATTTATTGATTAGTTTTGGCCAAACATATACATGCAAAATGTAAACAAACCCTTATGTTTGTTTACAGTTTGATTTGACCACGGACTTATTATATATAGTCTATTTTTAAAATTTCACAATGGCATTGGCATAATTTCAAGATATATGTGGTAGTAAACAAAGCACGCCACATTAAGATTAACCCTAGCATCAAAAAGTTAACTCAGCTTTATACTTAGAGAAAAATAATTTCATTTTAAAGAGTTTTATTCTATATCTATGTAACATTTTTCCATAATAAATTGTATTTTTTAAATGCGTTAGCTCATGCAGAAAATTCTGTAGTGAAGAATCAGACTATTATATCCTAAACTTCATTTATCATAATTTCTTAGACAATGATACACATATCTTTATTTAAATAAAAACAGCAGAGGGTATACACAGTATAAATTATATCAGTGACATAAGTGACTGCTGTCTGTTGTGTACAGTGAGTTTTGTCTGTTATTTAAATTCAAAAGTAGATTATTTTTCTGTAATATTTTTATGTTGTTTGTCGAAATGTTATATTTTCTCAATGGACAGAACTTACTAGCCTACCTTTTTGAAACTATAGTATCTGGACCACATGGTAACGCATACTGATTATCCGTTTCAACGGAGACAGTCACGTGAGCTATACCAACTTCTGTACCGGATATCTGGTAGTTATGAGTTAAGGTACTGCTTTCCTTGAGACAGTAGGAAGTACTCAGAAACGAATGTGGATTGGTCAGTTGAAGATTGCCCGTCAGTCTTATAGAAACCCTAATCTGGAGTAAATGAACAATATGATTACAAAAAGTATATAATTCAGAAAGCTGTGCTATCCTTATTTTGTATAAACTTTGCTCTTATAGACACGTATAAAAGGTGGACTAACGATATACATTGATTAGTTTGTATATTTATAGTTTCAAAAATCAACCTATTATATCTCTTAACCCCATTTATCATAATTTCTCAGACTATGATTCGCATATCTTTCTTCCAATAAAGAACAGCAGTGTGTACACAGTATACATTAATTCAAAAGTTTCTGTAATAAATAACTAATTTTAGTACAATTTGAACTATATTGTTATTTCTAGACTCACTATGACACCGCTTTTATTTGATCACACTCTATTATTTGACTGTTTGATATTAAAATTAAGATGAAATACTTCGTACAACTAAATAATTTTATTATTAAGCGAACTTTGGAATTTGATAGACCAAATTCTTTATAAAAATTGTTTAACAGACCCTGACAGTGACAGATGTGTGTGTCATTTAAATTCTGAAGTAAAATATACATTTTCTGTCATTTTTTGGATGTCTTTTTGGTTTTGGATGTATATCGGCATTCAAAGTTGGTTTCATTACAAAACTTTATGATTACTATACGGGTTAATAACCTAATAGTTAAAAACTAAAAAATACTTCAAGATATACTTACGGGGAAGGAGTAGTTGAGATAATTGAAAACATTGATGGGCAAGTAGAAATTTTCGTCTTTTTTAATGGAGTACGGTGTGATGACTTGAATGAAAAACGGTTGGATACTGATCACTTCTGTCTGGGGAGCGAACGACACGCCATCTTTTGACGAAATACAATAAACGTTGGTTGTCCAGGTCGTTATAGAATGTGGTAGGTCTCGATGTATTTGTGTAGAATTTCTATAAAAAATGCTTGTTAATAGATAAGGTATACAGTCGTAATAGTAGACCCTATTCCTAAAGAGTTTAACTTTAAACATCCTGTATATCATTAGACACTTACTCCACTGGAACAAACTCCCACAACCAATTTTCGGGAAAATATGTGCGAACTGTCACTTCTGACGTTTCATCGATGTCATTATTGTACTGATCAGTCATGAATTCGGCTTTAAAAAAGTTTTGTTTATATTTAGTTATAATTAATAGAAAGAAAATTTAAAATACCTTCATTGGCGTCGGTAAACAAGGGACCTAAAACGAAAAAATGTCTTTCCATAATAACTTTGTAATTTTTTGCGTTAATTTTATTATTTCTTACCGCTGTAACAAGGCTTTGTGACTATCTTCAAATTGGATATAGTAATCACTCCAAATTTCTAGAGAAATGCGGATTTTTAAAAAAACTTGTAAGAATTGTGAGGATTTTTCATTCGCTATTCACTATGCTATTTCATAATATACAGGGTGGCCCATTAGTCAACGAAAGTTCAATACCGTGGTTGTTTACAAAGATATGAAAAAAAGTTCTATATAAATGTTGCATGTTTATGTATATCCTAGAAGTATTTTGTTTTATACAGGATGTTTGTGGTTTAAAAACCATTAGACGGTTTTGATAAAAATTTACTGTGTTAACCATAATAGAAAAGCATAGCTCTAACCAATAATAAACTTAAATTCACTGCAGTTTTTAACCACTTTGCTCGCACTAATGAGCCACCCTGTAGGTACGAATAATCCAAAAATCGATACAGAATTCTCATTAAGATAATAAAACTTTCTCACTTACATTCAAAACATCGTAAGAATCATAATCCTCTGAGAATGTAAAAACATGTCTTTTATTCCTCATAGAGGTTGAATTGGCAGAATGATGTAATGCTAAAAAAATATCTGTTATATTATATAAAATAAGTTAATGCAAAAAAATAAAATCATTCTATGAACTTATTATTTGATAATTTTATTCAATATACAGGGAGGTCCGAACTGTATTCCGGAAACTTCAGCTGCATATTCTGTAGATGAAAATAAGTAAAAAAGTTCGTATAAATGTATGTCCTAAAATGCTGAATTTCGGAGATACGGGGTGTAGAAGTTTAATTTTTATTTCGATTTTTTCCAAATATTTCTAAGTAACGTCAATATTTCGATGAAAATTGGTGTCTGGGAGTTTTGTGACACGAGAAATTTGATTTTGAAGTCAAAATGACTCCTCTTTGTAGGGGGCGCCACCTACATGTGTTTTAACTGTTTTGAAGATTAACGACTTTTCGTCCGTACCGGTATAGAACTACTGACTGAAAAAATATACATTTCCATGACTTTTTACGTAAAAAATGTCTCTTGGTGAAAAACGAGCAACCATTCTCAATATATTTAGAATGGAAATAGTCAATACATGTCATTATTGACAAAAAATAAGCACACGTTGAGTATAGCTATTTGACTGAAATAATAAATTTTTATTTTTTAAATTAATCATGATTAAACAATTTCTGTTGAACTTTTGGCACAAATAGATTTCATGTTTATGATTTCAGTTTAATAACTATTTAGTCAACATGCTTAATTATGTCAGTGATGACAGGTATTGATAATTTCGATTCCAAATATCTCGAGAACCATTACTCTTAGCGATTTTTACCAAGAGACCTTTTTTACGTAAAAAGCATCGTAAATGTATGTTTTTTTACTCAGTAGTTTTATACAGGTACGGACGAAAAGTTATTACTCTTCAAACCAGTTAAAAATATGTAGGTGGCGCCCTCTACTAGTAGGAGACATATTGACATCAAAATCAAATTTTTCATGTCAAAAAACTCCCAGACACCAATTTTAATCAAAATTTTGACGTTACTGCAGAAATTATTTGGACAAAATCGAAATAAAAATGAAACTTCTACACCCTGTATCACCGAAACTAAGCATTTTTGGACATACATCTATACGAACATTTTTACTTATTTTTATCTGCAGAATATGCTGCCGAAGTTTCCGGAATACAGTTCGAACCACCCTGTATTGAGTAAAATTGCTTCTTCGAGAAAAAATATTTTTTTGGAAATAGATTTGTAAGTATTTATATAATTAGTTTTTGACAAGTTTTATATCAATTTTTAGTAAATGATTTTTTTTAGAAAACAAATTAGTAACCTCATCAAAATTATCATCGATTTTCTTTCCTCAGCCGTCCTTGACGCCGTTTTTTTTTTCATACGGTAGTTAATGCTATTAATTTAGTTTTTGATAATTTTACTTCGTGTATACAAAAAACTTTTCAAACTTTAAATAAGCTCTATCACTCTGTAAAGACTCTATATTACTCACCTAGTATTTTTTTATTATTCGATATACAGCTTGTCCTAGAAGATCTAGCGCCATCTTTATGGTGAGACATCGTTTTAATGACGTTATCCCAATTGAGATTTTGTGATTGGCTGGAAGATATGAATTTAGTAGCTTTATCTGTAGCTGTAACAGCGCACAGAGCCTGTTTGTCTGACTTTATAGTTAGAGTAGCTGATTTGCCCGGAACTAGCTGATTTTCGTTCCAATAAGCATCTACCTAATTTAAAAAAAATACAAAAAAATTTAATCAACCTTTATTTTCTTTTTTTTTAACTTTTTTTTCTTTTTTTTATTATTTATTTATTTTTTTTATTAATTTTTTTTTATTATTTTTTAGTTTCATTTTTCACATACCTTGTAAGAACAGGGTTTTACTTCTTGTGTTCTACTAGCTGCTACTGTTTCGCCATCTTTAGTAATATAATACACCAAAATTTGGAATTTGTAAACAATTTTCTCCATTTTTATTTTTATAACAAACTGATCTACACTCGATCCAAACTTGACAAATCTGTGTTCATTTCCTAAAAAACTTTTACTATCTTCTGAGCTTATTGCATTGTGCTTTCTGACAGTGTGTTTTATTTTCTTTAATTTATTTATTTCTGAATTTATTTTTACCTACAATATAGTTTTACAATAAATAACATATACAGAGTGTTACATTGAAGTTTGTATTATATGGGATTTTGTTATTAATATATTTATATTTAAAATCCAACCACCCAATGTGAAATTTGACTTGAAAGCCACGTTAGTTAAGTTAAAACTATTTCTGGTTATTTTCAAGCAAAAATCAAAAATCATTAATAAAAACATCCCATATAATGCAAATTTTATTTGTATACTATATCTATAATCTATGACAGTCTTACCATATAATAAAAAGTAATATTTTCTCCTTCTTTGAAATGGTCAGTGGTATATAAAATTTTATACTGAAACGGTGTATCGCAAGTTTTGTTGATATTCGTGTCCCTTTCAATGTAAATGTAACTAGAAGTGGGACTGTAGAGTCTAACAGCTAGAAAACTGTCCTCGATGTTAGTGTTGTTGATAGAATTTGCCTTAAAAAAGAAAATTGTTATTGTCTTGTAATTTTATTTTTATTGTGTTGTAATAGTATTTTTATTTTATTGATATTGTACTGTTATTGTACTTTTTTGTACTTTTATTGTACTGTTATTGTAATTATATTGTACTTTTATTGTATTGTTATTGTATTGTTATTGTATGGTTATTGTATGGTTATTGTATGGTTATTGTATGGTTATTGTATTGTTATTGTATTGTTATTGTATTGTTATTGTATTGTTATTGTATTGTTATTGTATTGTTATTGTATTGTTATTGTATTGTTATTGTATTGTTATTTATTGTTATTTATTGTTATTTATTGTTATTTATTGTTATTGTATTGCTATTGTAATGATATTATAATGCTATTGTAATGCTATTGTAATGCTATTGTAATGCTATTGTAATGCTATTGTAATGCTATTCATAAAACATTTTTTAAATAAAACTATTTTATGTATGATTTAGTAACTTATTGCACATCATGTAAATTATACAAACTTACATCTAAATGTATATGAAGAACACTATTTTTTAGTGGCCATAATTTAAAAGGAATAATCCCATCTTCTGGAACAGTGTAGTTCCTACATTCTTCATTCTTAAAGTAGTTCCAACTTTTCTTTATTGCTAGATTGTAGCAAAGTTGGATCACTTCGCCACTGATATCAGTGATTGCGTTGATCAGTTTCATTTGCCCTTCGTAAGGTACTCCAGGGATGAATATAGGGCTGCTTTGGATTTTCAGAGTATAGCCCTAAGAGTAACAGTAGGTCTGTTATTTATTGAAAAATATTTTATCTAACATATTTTAACAAAAATTGTGTTAAGATTAAGTAAAAAATGAGCAAAAAACGGAAAATATTACACGTTCTTTTTTTCCTTGTTTCGCAATTAAATTACCTTTACATGGATTTCCGATTTTCCGGTAACAATGTCCATTTTTGTTGTTCCTTGCTCAGTAACTGTGGCCGTAATATGAAGAAAAATTCTAGGGTCCGCCAAAGAGAATTTTTTACTTATATCGCTCAAGTTTAGTTCGTATTTACTGATATCGAAGTAGGCACATCCATTGTCCATCTACAAAAATGTTAAGAATTAGAAAAATAGAAAAGATTTTTTTTTCATATTTTTTGACGAGGAATCTGAAATTTGTTCTTGCATTTTTTGGACACCCTGTATAAATTATTTAGGGTCCTAACACATAATCAAATATTTCTAAATGCAGGGTATCCTTACATCCTCAAAACTATGTAAATTATGACGTTATAATATTTTCTGAATACGAATTATTGTGAGGTAAATCCACTAAGCGAAAACACGAGGAAAAATATATACAGGGTGAGTCTTAAGTAAGTGCAAAATTTTCAGGGCTGCATGGTGGATCTCGATAAAAGAAACATATTTTCTCTTGTTCGAAACGTTTTTCAAATAAATCAAAAATAACCGAGTTAACTTTGAAAATTTCCAAAAAAAATATTTTGCTTAGATTTTGAGAACCACTGGATCTTTTCTCGGTTTTCTTTCATGTAAATTTAATCTACTACCTGTGTTGCCATATTATCAAGAAATAATGTTTTTTAACTAGGAAAATTTAAATTTTCAAAAAAATTTCACAAAAAACCTCAAAATCGTGTTTGTGGGGTCGAAATAATAATTAACCTCTAAAAATAGTATTTGCACTTATTTAAGACTCTCCCTGTACTACAAACAGCAGATTTTTTCTCACCTCTTGCAAAATATTTAACACTTTCATATGGTTCACAGAATCGTGGATTTTTACAAAAGCAGTACCCGCAACTGGTTTGTTGTAAGAATATTTAGCGCAAACGGTAATATTTATCGAATTTGTTTTGTAAAATACGGATTTGGGATGGATCAGGTCGATTTTGAACCTTGGCACTACATATTTGGCAACTTCGAAGGTTTTCATTAATTTATCCACCTCTATTTTCCATTTTCCCTACAATAAGAAAAAAAATTATAAGAACTATCCAAAATTATCGTCTCTAAAAACAGGTATAGTCTGTCCAATGAATCTGGGAAGATTTTGACAGATGACATCCAAAAAAAATGACAGAAAATACAATTTGCCTTTGAATTAAAATGGTGAATGCCTGACAGTGGCAGACACAACTGTCACTATCAGGCATCCCCTCGTTGAACAGACTATAGATTTATTTCGATGTTCTAAAAGATATTTCCGTATGACAAGATATTTTCTTATACAGGATGAACGAAAATTGGGTATTTTAGGAGACTTTTTTAATTTGGGAAAATTCTATTTCATTTTCAATTCAAAAATATTCTCTTGAATTCAAGAGAGTATTGAAATTCAAACTTCATAAACTTGGAACAAAAAACTATTGGTACTCACCAATTAGTATCTATACCAATTAGTGAATTAAAGTGACAAACACAAGTGTCACTATCACTTCAGGAAAATATTTTTACTGTGAATCTTTCAAAAATAATTAATTTCTAAGATATACAGTACCGGCCAAAAGTGGAGAAACTTTTTAAATTTATTTACTGCCGTTTTACAAGAACGAAAAGGTTTATAAAGCGCTATATATTTATACATAGGATAACTGTCTCATAAAAATACACACAAGATTTTTTGGAAAAAAAGCCTTTATTATTATAGTGGTTAAGGTGTGCTGAGGATTGAATCTCTCATTGGCAGGACGTTTCACCCACCTAATACCATCCGAACCAAATTATACTTGCTTTCATCCGACCAAGTACATTTTCCACTGCTTGTATGTCCAATTTGCATGTTCCAATACAAATTGTAGTCGGGCCTGCCTCTTTTCTTAGAAATAAACGGCTTTCGGGCAGGTCTTCTGGCATTAAGTTGTGCCTGTTTCAGACGCCGTCTAATGGACCTTACAGATATTGAAATAAAGGGATATTCGTTCCTTATATCTTCCGCAGTGCAAAATGGATTTCTAAGTGAATATCTTCTTATTATTTTATCTGTCGCCAAAGTTGATTTTTTGGGTCTTCCGGGCTTGGGTATACTGGCAGTTGTCCCACGATTTCTATACAAAATAATCTGTTTGCAAACAACACTTTTTTTGTCTAACAATATCAATTTGTTTAATTCCCGAATGATACTTCTCAATTATGATTTTTTTTATGTGCAGAGAGTAAACTGTATTTTGATACAGTAAAAATATTAAAAGTTTCTCCATTTTTGGCCGGTACTGTATATTATGTTACGGTTAAGGTCATATACATACATTATAAACATTTTTTATGAAGGTTTATATTTTATCTGAGATTATCAAGAATACATATTTTATAATAATAAACTAAATAATAATAATAACGGACTTAACTTTTGAAAAAATTGTGTTATAATATTTTTTTGTTGGATAGCTAGAAACAGACAGGCTACTATTATTAGAAGTTGAATTTTTAGATAGTACTTTTCAAAAGTTTACTTACTATTAACGCTTCTTCAACCAGAGGATATTCCAAGTTGACCAATCCGTGGTCTAGAGATATATTATTCCAGACAAAAACACCAACATCCATGGGATTTCTTATCTTGATTTCGGATATCTAATTTTTTTATAAAATTGGACATAAATTTTCATATTTCTTATTTCATAAAAATTGATAGAAGTTCATATATATTTAAATGTATAATAAACATAGAAAGATAATATTTAATTGCTTAAAAAGTTTCAATATCGATGCGGGACTAAGTGAAATACAGGCCTATTTGCGTTTCAAAGTAGGCCCCAGTGACGTCACGATAGTAGACCTAAATATTCAGCTATTTTAAATGTGATTAAATGGTGATATAGGAGTAAATAAATGGCGGGATAAGTATTTCTGTGACTAATCACACTAATTCAGCCATTTTTTTACCCCGTTAAATTTTCTTTCTATAAATACCATAGGATCAAAAAAAAACGCCGTCAGACTTGACTTTGAAATGAAGATCGCTGTCATTTTATATATAAATTTACATAGAGAATGTCAGTGACTGTTTTTTTTATTTCAAAACCAACTAGATGTCATTCTTTCGATCAGAAGGTACAATCAAAGTTTTTATACAAAAAACGTTATTAGTATTAGAAAAAAATAGCTTTCTATACCTGGGAATTACCGGGTAAAAATCTCTCATTCAAACACAACACTCTTATTTTAACCAAATCGCCAGGTTTGTACATTGCCCTGTCAGTTTCAAGAAATATTTTACAACTTTCCTTGGGGTACATCAGGATAGGATCCTGATTGTGAGCTGATTGTACCTGATTACCGTCAAGAACCTGGATTTTGATACTGACGTATTGTGGTTCAATTAAATCAAAGTCTGGAACGTGCATGTTAAAACATGTGTGTTCTACAAAAAAGCGTGAAACAGTAAAAATGTGACAAAAGACAGAACCATTATCAGCAGATAAAAATTATAATAATATATTCTTATTTAAAATTGATCTACTTTTATATAGACACATGATTGGCACTTTTACCGAGCGTAACAATATGCCGTATGATTGAAAAAAAACGGCGTCAGCAATGGTTATGAAAATGAAGATTCCCAACCAACTGGACGCCGTTTTTTTTCGACCATACGGTATTTTCAGAATGTAGAACAAAGTTAAGGTACTAGAAGTACGAGAACTATAAGTAATAGAACTCTTGGAAAATTTATTATTCTTGAACCTTGTAATTAAATATTCTGTTTTTTTTTAATTTTCTTGGGATTTAGGTTCGGGAAAACTCTGATTAAGTTTTCATTTGGGTTTTCATATTTTTATTTCATTTTTAAAGGAAATAACCAAACGTTTCGGCCAACATTACAGCCTTCATCAGTTTTGACACTAGCTACACTGATGAAGGCTGTAATGTTGGCCGAAACGTTTGGTTATTTCCTTTAAAAATGAAATAAAAATATGAAAACCCAAATGAAAACTTAATCAGAGTTTTCCCGAACCTAAATCCCAAGAAAATTAAAAAAAAACAGAGTAATAGAACTATTATATAAGGTTGGACCGTTTTTTTTATATTTTTTCTTAAAGGTTAATGAAAAAATACCTGTTCCTAAATTTCTTTCGGTCAGAAAATGATGTCCTTTCAATTTTAGATCAACTAAAACTCTTGATGGTGTATTTATATGATGCAAAGATAAACATACAGTTTCATTTTTGCCAGCTGAAAGAGTTTTTGGCATGCTAAAGAAGAATCCTCCATGTTTTCTTATCAAGTTGTCTCCATCGCTTCAAAAACAGATCATAGTCAAAATACTAAAGAAATATAAACATCCTGGTAAAAACCGCACATATTAAAAAAAACACGTTATATGGATTCAAACTTCAAACATAGTTTTAGAAGAAAGCATATTATTAATTATTTTAACAAATAAAATAATACATCATTTAAAATTGATAAAAAATTACCTGAGAAACAACCCAAAACAAATATCAAAAACTAGAACTTGAAGGGTAGAAATATATTTGAAATAAATACTATTGCTTACACATTTTATAAAAGATTGAGTTGATAATATATCAAGTAGAATGCAAGAACGCTTGGTCACCTTGTATAGGTACGTTGTTTTGCGAAAATCTTACAACAAAATGGAACAATTTTACATTTTTTTTAAAACCATGCTTACTTTTCGTTAATTGCACTGACATTCGAATAAAACAAAATATACAACACAAAGGCACAGGCAACTTGATGCATTTCTAATTTATATGGACTATCATGAATGAATTCATGCCGAGATTAAAATAAAAGGGATCCGCACTGATATTTACTACGGATTCTCGTGCTTGAACTTTGACAAATGTTTTTTAACCGATAAAAACTCTTTGTTTTGCAACATTGCATTCAATAAATATTCTTTTATATCGATATTCCATGCGATAATATTTTTCTTGCATTGAGCGCATTATCTTCAATAAATTTGTCCTGGAAAAAAATTCATATTCTTGAACTTTGTTTATAGGCAACTCAAAATACACCAGTTTTAAAGAGCTAACCTCAAAAATTAGTCACGTAAATATAAATATGAACATTTTTAAATAAGACAATAAGACTTTAAAACAATCTTTTTAAGATGAAAAAGAAATTAAAATATGTGATAACGTTCGTCTGGTTTTGTTACTTAGTTGTCTCTGCTATTTTGCTGTTTTCTCGTGGGTTTTTATTGACCAGGACAGTACAAGACAATAATGCTACTTGCAGTTCAAAACTTGAGCATTTCTGTGATTCAAACGATGAAGAAAGTTGTTTTATTAAAGGAAACGAGGTATTTAGTGAGTTTCGTAACGAGGCTTTGAATACTTGCTTAAAACCTACCTCCAAAGTAATTTTATTAATAGTAGATGCACTCAGATATGACTTTACTGTTTACAAAGACAGAGAGAATCCTTTACCTTTCCAGAACAAGTTACCAATCATAAAAGATACCTTATTAAATCACCCAGAGTCTTCGAGATTGTATAAATTTATTGCTGACCCACCAACAACAACAATGCAAAGGCTTAAAGCACTGACCACAGGCAGTCTTCCGACATTTATTGACGCCGGTTCGAATTTTGCTACATCAGAAATAAACGAAGACAATATTATTGACCAGGTCAGCAAAAATAAAAATAAAACTACCGCCAGTGTGGTGTTCTGCTGGCGATGCAATTACCTTCCCCCCATCCCAGCCCTCGCATCTAATAAGCGGATCTTTGCTCATACCTAAAGCATAGTTTTAAGAAAATATCAATCCATCGTTTGATGTGTGGGATCTGGATACAGTGGATAATGGAGTCAAAAAAAGCATATTTCCGGAGTTGAAAAGGGATGATTGGAATTTACTGGTTGGGCATTTTTTGGGAGTGGATCATTGCGGTCATAGATATGGACCAAACCATCCGGAAATGTCCAGAAAGTTGTCAGAAATTAATAATGTATTCAGTAAGTTATTTTAAACATTTTTTTTTTTTGAGTTGGGAAATTAGTCATGACAACGCGACGTCTAAATCCTAAAAAGGATGGTACGATTTTATTTTAATTCTAGAGTTGTCATAACAATAATTATTTGTGCATGTTATAATGTTCAATAATGTTAAATTTAAGTTTTAAATTAATAAAACAATTTTTTTTAAACTAGGGTTTTTATTCCTATCACGATACATTATTACATGTATCATGGCCTCTAAAAAAAAGTAGGAAGTTGGGAAAATTGCTTGTCCTCCCCCCCAAAAAAAGTTCTAGCGTCACCACTGTGTTCCACATCTCCTTCTTCAAGAAGTGACTTGTAAAACGTAGATGCTATCTCTTCTGCCTTCCTACCGGCAAGTGCCTCGTTCCATAAAACAGAAATATGCTTTTTGTTATTCTTTGAGGACTTGTCTTCGATTGTGGCGAATTCTTGGTGAAATGCTACAGTGCGTCTTGTAAAACACGTTTTTTTCTCCCCGGTATGCGAGGAAGCATAATCTCTCTCTTCAGTCCTGACCCCCATTAGGGAGTATAGTGGTCAGCGTAACATCATGGATGATTTTTCTCCATGCGCCTCTATCTTTTGTCATCTCGATGACATCGTGCATTGGCTTGCTACAGCTAGTCGTGATCTGGTCTATCTAGAGAGTTGGAGAGCGGCCACGTGGTCTACGTCCCTCCACCTTGCCTTGAATTATGAGTCTTTCCATATTGTCCGGACTTTTCCTCATTATATGTCCAGAATATTTTAGTTGTTTTAGTCGGAAGCATAATAAGTTTTTGGAAATCTACACTTCCTATGAAGTGACTATTGTTATAGGGCCTGCAATTGTTTCAAAAAGCAGTATCTTTTTAGACATTCGCTTACTGTCTTTTGCCAAGTATTCCTGATAACTTGAAATCAGATGTTTTTTTCGGTAAAAAGCAGCATCTTATTATGATTCAATTTACTACCTTTTGCTATAGAATATTTTTTTAAATTTGAAAATCTTAAAATATATAATATGGAAGTATGTCAAATAAAAGTTAGATACTGCTACTTGCGTTATTATGACAGGCAGTTTTATCATTTACTGCTAGATTCCATGAATATTTTGACACACTTAAAACTGAGCTAGCATGTCCTAACCTATTGCAAATGATAAAGCGCTTACTGCTAATGCTGTTTGTAAGAAAATAGCGGTTTCGTAAAAAAAATCACTTACTGCCTTTTTCCATTTCACGTCAGAGTAGTATATAGTTCACAATAATCACCAAAGCTACCTTATCATATTCAAAAATAATTTTAAACAGAAATGATAATTGAAATATATAAGTATTGCAAATTGTAGGTGGCAAATTTCTTTCGCTTTTAAAAATTAACCTAGGCATGTATTGACATGATCCAAAAAATAAAATGCTCAAGAGACATGGTTCTGACCGTAAAATTATATTTTAGGAAAATTTACACACGAAATTATTGCACAGGGTGTTTTAAAGTTAAGGCAAAAAAACCCTCGATTAACCCTGCATAATATGCCAAATACTATACTAAGTTTATAAAAAAATTAGTTTACGAATCAAAGTTTATATTATAACTATATACAGCTTCCTAAAAAATCATGAAAATAGGGCTAAAAAAACGAAAATATAATACTTTCAATTTGACCAAAAATTTCTCCGTTGCCTTGTAAAAATGTAAATCTTTCTGCACAAGTTTTGCAAAACATAAATATAACTGCATCGATGCTGTAACTACTTAACAATTTAATTTCAAATTCCTCTAGGTTAAGGTTGAAACCTTTGTTGAAGCTCTACTTGAAATAATTTATACTTAAACTTGACTAGTTTCTCTTGCTATAAATCGAAATCACCCAGGTATTTAGCGTGCGAAACAATTTGTTAACAATTATTCGAAATCCATTGTTTCGATCTGATTGAAACAGTAGCGCGTGAGCTTAGCATGCTTAATTAGTCGACTCGCACGCACTATACGGGATGTCGCGATTGTTGTGCCTTATTAGTATTATTGTACTTAATTTAGTACAGAACAAAAAGTTAGAAGTTGATTTTCCACAAAATTATATTAAAAAAATAGTACAACATCTTCTAAATAATATAATAATTTTTTCTGCGAAAAAATGATGATAACGGTTTCTGTTGAAATTTTAGCACAAAAAGATTTCAAATTTAAGATTTCAGTCTAATAACTATTTGGTCAACATGTTTAATTTGTCAATGATGACAGGTATTGATAATTTCAATTTCAAATATCTCTAGAACCATTACTCGTAGCAATTTTTACCAAGAGACCTTTTTTATGTAAAAAATGTTTATTTTTAAATGTATATTTTTTAAAGCATATGTAGGTGGCGCCCTCTACAAGTAGGAGTAATATTGACATGAAAATTAAATTTCTCATGTTCAAAAACTTCCAGACACCAATTTTCATCCAAATATATTGACGTTACTTCTTAAATTATTTGGAAAGAATCTCGAAATAAAAATGAAATTTCTACAACCTGTATCTCCGAAACTAAGCATTTTTGGACATACATTTATACGAACTTTTTTACTTACTTTAATCTGCAGAATATGCCGCCGAAGTTTCCGGAATACAGTTCGGACCACCCTGTATATTTTAGGAGAATCAGATATACAATTTAATTGTCTATCAAATTGTATTATACCATTCTTTTACCTATCTCTTCCAGTTTTCGTAGAAAATGCCAAATGTCAAATTGATTGGTCTCAATCTTTTTAGACTGTGGTACGGATAACTCATTGAACCAATGTCGTTGAGTCATCCGTATCACAATAATGTAATACGAAATGATGTAATGATGTGAATGAAAGAATATAATATGAGAAACTCTCGTGAAATTCCTGTCAGTATACTTGGTATGAACGTGCATTAGAAGTTTCTAGCGAAAATGCATATCTACATCGTAGGTTTTTGTATACCGGGTGTTGCATCGTCGGACGGGATATAGAAATCCCATGTAAATTTTAATGGGGCCAATTATTGATTTCCCTAATTATTTTAGAGAATAATTATATTTAGGTTTATTGAAGAGCACTAAAACCCACATTCAAAAGAATAACTTTAGATATTTTTGATTAGCTCGTTTACGAGTTATCGCCGATTTCTTTTTAAATATTTCTGCTTTCTTATGGCCCTGTATTTACTTGAGCACCAGTCAAGGTAAAAGATAACTGTCAAATGAAGTTGTCATTTCAGAAATCACCTATTTAGTGCTTTACTATGGCTTTACTATTATTGAAAACTCATTCCTACATCGGAAATTTTAAAGATGTATTTATAAATACAAATTAATATGAATTAAAGTAAAATAAAGTAATCAATTACAAGGTTAATTATAGCATTATTACAATATTCAATAACTTATTAATTTAGGTACTACTAAATTGTTAGAACTTTAGGATTTAAGATGTTCAAATATTCCTCCATCGACTGCTAGATAATAACCCAGGCGATCATAAAATTCTCTTCTTACATTCGCTAATAGTTGGTAAACTCAACTTCTATTGCACTCGGCAGAAATAGCATTTTTTAACTCGTCTAGATTTGGGTATTTTTTTATCTTTGTATATCCTGTTATTTAAATGGCCCCAGAGAAAGAAATCATTTGGCGAAATATTAGGAGACCTTGCTGACCAATTTACTGTATCATTTAGGCCAATAACGTTTCCGTTAAAACTATTGTCTAAATATTCCCGAACAGCCAGGGTACTATGTGCCGGGCAGCCATCCATTTGGTACCAAACTTCCTGATTTTCCCTAGCGGCATCATGTAAAGCAGGTAGAATATGATTTTCGAGTAGTTCCAAATCATATTCTGCATTTAAATTTCGCGTAAGAAATAATGGCCCGATAATATTGTGTCCGAATATCCCTGCCCAAACATTTACTTTCTGTAGATATTGCGTCCTTGTTTCGACAAACCTGTGTTGATTTTCTTTGTTCCAATATCGATAATTTTGAACATTGGGTTCAATATTTAAGGTAAACGTTCATTCATCAGTGAAACATGTTTTTTAAAAATTCCCTATCCGTGTTTGCTCTTTCCATCATATCAAAACAAAACGCCTGCCGCCGTATTCCGTCCCCATCTCGTAGCTCTTGGTGCTTTTCATATTTGAAGGAATAGTATTTATGTCGTTTCAAAATTCGAAACGCTGTAGTTTGATCTATTCCTATTTCATCCTCAAGTTTCCTTGTGCTGATCTTCCCATCGTTCTCTTCATGCACAATAAAACTTCCAAGTCGGTATCATTTCTTGCATCTTCTCTTTGTTCCTGCCTTGCTTCACATCTGCAGTTATTTATTAGGGTACCTTTGGTCTCAAATCTCTGGATATTCCTTGCGATTGTAGATTTTCCAGGTATCGGTCTATTCGGATACAGAGCAGTAAACATGCCCGACACCTTTTGATAACTATTTCCTTGATAATACCATTTAATCATCAATACTTTTTCTTGTAGGTATAAGTTTTTAATAATAATAATAAAGTACTAAATAGATAAATTTCTGAAATGACAACTTCATTTGACAGTTATCTTTTACCTTGACTGATGGTGCTCATAAGTAAATACAGGGCCATAAGAAAGGAGAACTATTTAAAAAGAAATCGGCGATAACTCGTAAACGGGCTAATCAAAAATATCTAAAGTTATTCTTTTGAATGCGGGTTTTATTGCTCTTCAATAAACCTAAATAGAATTATTCTCTAAAATAATTAGGGAAGCCAATAATTG